CATCATCATCGATAAGACTACAAAATAATCTTCATCCGAAGTATAAGAAATTTGACGTGAAAGACATCGAATAGGAAAACAAAGAAGTTTCGAACACCTACTTGAGGTTTATATGAATAAAAATAAAGGCTTACAGCATTTAGTTTAAACCTTTAAATAAGAAAGAATAATAAATTAATAAAATATCTCAAATAAATAAACAGTTAAAATAGTTTAAGTCTCGAACGGTTTCAATAGTAACGCCTTTTAGATTTCCGTCATAATATCAGCATAATGTAAAGTCCACTGCCGCTTTTTTTCCGGAACTGTTGAAAAGACAATCAATATAACTCTTTAGTGAGGATGAACTCAAAAATACGACATTGTGTTATCCCGATTGTAAATAGTACTAGCGGAAAACGAAGGCGTTTTGGAAAGGTTTGAATATTGTTCTTGTTGAGGACGAAAGATTTTTTCTGCAAGACAAACAGTTCATAACTACTGAAGAATCTAAAGAAACGAAGTGCATTTTGAACTTTCCGTGACACCACACTTGCACATGTTGCGAGAAAAAATAATTGTTTGAATTAAAACATAAAGCTTTCAGTATACTTGGAATAATGATGATGAGAAGAAGTGTGATTAAAGTTGTCAATTCGCCTTAAACATCCGTTCCTTCCATACTGGCGTCAACTTCCGATACACATCATCCGATTGATCTTTTGAGCTAGGGAAGACATGATATTTTATAGACCTTAGCGGTAAAATTCATTATACTCTAGAAAAAAAGAAAACATGTTTGTACCGAGTGTAGACTGTGTGTTGAAATTCGAAGAGTGCCTGTCGTGTAATAGTAGCGTCTAGGCGAAATGGGGTGGAGCAGTGAGCCAGAACGAAGATCCAGAGATTTCCAATCATTGCGGGGGGCAGCCTGCCAAATTCGTTGGCCATTCAGCTCCATGGTTTAATTACGTCAATGCAAGTGAGCTGATCAGCAGCATGCGTCGCTCACGCTTCGCCAGCCACTTTCGTCGCACGTGGATTTTACCTTACCTTGATAAATCGGTCGTAGTGAAGTTTCTACGAGCGAGGCCCTGTATTGTCCGCCAATTGTGGAGGACTTTAAAGAGAACGTAACTCATCGCAGAATTTTGCAACCTTGAGCCGCTCTGTCAGGCCGCTCGGATGACAGCGTTGGGATTCCACACGACGGGCGACCGCTACCAGGGGGCAGCCCGCAGAATGCCACGACCACGGCGACGGACATCCGCCCCTGCTCGTCTACAGAACGGCGCTCGGCACAGTAAGAAAGCTCGGCGGGGATCCCTGGCTCCCGCAGTTGCACGGGGAGCTTCGCGCCGGCAACCAGCTGCAATGGTGACTCAACGTGGACAGGGGGACGTCAACGACTCCAGACGCTCGTCACCGTCAGTACCTACAGTGGCGCCGAAGGAGGTACCAGCAGCACCTTCACTGGGCGTGGTGGCACAGCCAGGAGTCTGTTAGCCAGGGGATGCTACCACCATGCCCATGGCTCACCAGCCCATTCGCCCGATGCCGCCAGAACCGGATATGCAGCATAGCGGCCTACCTCAAACATCTAGCCAGGCTTCACAAGGGTTAAGTGCGTTTTCCGACGCAAGTTTCATGCATGCCGTGGATAAGGGACATACGCCTAATTTGAATGGGGGCCCCGGCATTTAATCTGGCCGGTGCCATTGGTAGGTTAGGTGACAGTATAGGGTGTACAAATATTGCAATGGGGTGTCTCCAAGGCGTTTCGGCTGCCCCTACTCCTATTCCCCACTTGGGATGTGCATCCTTGTTTGGGGGGGGGCTAATCTCGCAGTCGGTGAAAGAGAAGATATGGAAAAACGAGTAGGCCTACATTGATATGTCTCTGCTATTGGCAGATAGCGCGGCATCACTGCTCGCAAAGGCTCATAAAGGTCCCGAGGTTGCACTTGTCGTTGAGGGTGATAGGATATTTTTGCGGCCTAGCTCGTCCCCCACCGGCCGCCAGAACAAGCTAGATTCGTTGGACAAGTGGGTCTCTGCATTCCACTCTTTTATGGCTATATACCTCATGAAGTTTCCCAATAGGGCCATGGAACTGCTTAAGTACACCGAGATCGTGAGCACAGTCGCAGTACAATTTCCAGGCTTTGGATTGTATGACGAACAGTTTCGTCTTCAGCAGGCCACGCAAACCGATCGATCATGGGCTGAGTTGGATGCAGAGTTGTGGTTAACGGTGAGGGCGTCTGCCGTTAGCTCAGCCAGCAACACCGCTCAGATAACTGTCACTCCGCGCGGAAGCAGTTGGGTGTGTTTTGCTTTTAATAGCCCGGGCGGTTGTAAATACTTTGGCTGTAAGTACCAGCATCAGTGCGCCAAGTGTACACGGTCGGGACACGGTTCGCAAGTGTGCCGATTCGATGGTAGCCAAACGTGTAACCAGCAATGGGGTCAAAAAGGGCTGAAGAAACGGGGATTCCCCCATCACGAGCGTGATGTAAACCCCGCGGGCGTGACAGGGGTTGCACAAAGCGCAGACGTGAGTATCCCAAAGAATGCACGACCGGCTCCTGCCGGTAAGCCCCCTTTTCGTACTCCCAACTCCAATTAATGTGCCCGTGTTGCTGAACTGGTTAGAGTCGTACGATGACACTGCAGATTGACATATACTGCGTGAGGGTTTTTCAATGGGATTTTCCTTGGGTTTCAGTGGGCCTCGGGTGAGCAGGGATTCCGAGCCCCTTCGCTCTGCAACATCACAACCCC